AAAGGTGTCATCCACGTAACGTATCCATAGCTTAGGGTTAGAGTTAGGGTTAAGGATGATGATGTTGCTGTCGGTTTTGGGGGACTTCATTGCCTGCAGTTCCTGTTTTGTAAAGATGCTGGAGTTTCATTTGTGTCTCAGAAGTGGAATGACTGTCTGGCATATTTGATGTTGGGTTTCTTCGCTGAGGTCTATTGATTTTAAGGTGCTTTATAGGTTTGCTCGGAATTCTGCGTTTGGTACATCTTTGTGAATACAGTATATATATATCCATAATTTTCAAGGACAACATGAAGAATTGCTTTGAAGCCTTGGGCCTCATTGATAAGGAAGCAGAAGAACTGTGAAATGAAATCAAACAGATTATTAAGCATAAAAGTGAAAAGAGATTGCCAAAGACCAAGAAATTGGAGAAAGCAAATGACAGTATATGCTGGCTGTGGAATTCTGGGAGTTGAAGTCCACATGCCTTAAAATTGTCAAGATTGAGAAACACTGATATAGTGGAACTATATACTTTGTTTTGTTCTGACTTCATCTTTCAGAGAATCTTCTGTCCTGTATCCTATTAGTGTGATAGTTTTGATGCTTGTTCAGTTTATGTTATATGATGGGGAGGTACTGCCCCTAGTACCTGAAAAAATGAAGAAAATGAGAATGAGAATGATTTGGATTAAGTAGGCACTGAGCCTAGACATACCACAATAAAGGTTTATACATATGTAGGTATATATTATATCAATTTTCTACCATTCTACCTTTTCAAAGCTATTTCAGTGTATTTAAGAACTGAGTCCCTATCATTCTGATATGTATGAATTTTAGCCTGTTGAACATGAACAATGAGTTATGTATGTGACCTTTGTATGTTGCTGTTTTGCAAAATGAGTTTCAGTATGAATGCATGCAAACGTGGCAAATTTGGTGCTTTTATAAAAATGTGCATAGTTGTACCACTGCACTAAACCAAGGTGGGCTTCATAATCAATTTCAATGAAGAAAAATTGTAAAAGAACCATGAATATGAATTATTTTAACAGTGCATTTATATCTATTCAGAACTCTGATGAATTTCATAGGATCCATATCCAGGTCAATAGAATTACAGGAGAATTGTGGGCATAGGATTCATATTAACCAGGCTAAAGATGCCTGGTGGGGTGACTTTTCCTGTCACTTTCAACAGGCATGTCCAGAGAGTGTTAAAGCTATGAATTTGAGCATCCACATCTTGGTCTGCTTCTAATTATTTCCCCCCCACCCTGTATTGGGGTTGTAGCAGTGATCTTTGTATCAAGAGATTTCCATAGACAAAGCTTTCTTCCTCACTTCCATTCCAATGGGGCCTCTGGCCCCTGAGTTTCTATTCTGTGAAGTTTAGGATCTTGCTGGTGTCAGAAATTTTCATCTAGTCTCTGAGATCATTAGTTTGCTTTACTTTGCCAAGATGCCTGAATAAGGTTAAGTGATTTTTTGTTTTTTAAAAATGAAAATATGGCTCATTATTTTAAATTAATATGAGTCTAAACTATAATTGTGTCAATTTCTAGAGCCTAACAGTAGATGCGTAGTGAATGATTTTGTGCATTTTAATTACGTTGCTATATATTATCAGCTTTCTCTTCTATTACAAAGGGTATCATTCAAGATGCGAAAGTCATCTTTATGCCTAATGGATATATAACTCAGTGCCCTAATCTGAATCGCAGTAAGTAGCAATTTATATTTAGCATATTAAGTTATATTTATATTGTTTAATGTAGTGTGTTTTCCAAACTTTGTTCATTGTTGCTAAAGCATGTGCTAATCCCAAGTTATGCATGAGGAATGAGGAATTAATATGCATTCTTTCAGTTCAAGTCAAGAAAGTACATATGATGAAGACTGCGTATATTTTATGAAGTGATATAGTTCTTTAGGGCCCACCCCAGTTCCAAAGAAATCATCAATTTTATTCACTGGGAAGAGGGGTGTCACATAAATTAGTTTATGTTTTTAGGAAATTGCTATATAATGGAGTTTGAGAATTCATGCATTATGCCCTTCTGCAGTCTTCACCAAACTGTTAAAATAGATTGTAATTCATTCTTAGTCCCTCTTTTCCATCTTCTTTTTTGCCTTCCGCCTTTTTTTTAGGAAATAGAGCATTATTTTTTTCCCGAATATAGATACCGAGGGGCTATAGGCAGTGGTGGGATTCAAATATGTGAACAACTGGTTCTCTGTGTGGATGCTGCTTCCAGAAGTCCATTCTGGGCCTGGGCAACAAAAAATTAGCTACTGGTTCTGCTGAACTGGTATGAACCAGCTGAATCCCACCACTGGCTATAGGAGAATATAGCTCTTAGACTTAGTATTCCTGTATGATAATGTCCATTTTATATAAAAACATTATTAGAGTTTTACAGCTTTCCACTGCAAAAATAAGCCCAAAAAAATAAGGACACATTCAAAATGAGCAGGAGGCATAGTTTAGAAAAACTTTATCTATAAAATATATATAAACATGATACATACAGTTTCATTCAGTTCTTGGCAATGTGGTAGAGAACAACAACAACTAACTCAGGAGATCAGGACACAGGGAGAGACTAAGACATGCCCAGACCTAGGCTGGATCACATGCCTCGCACAGCCAATCCTATGTCTCAATTAAATAACAGTTCCCATTAGCTGGTTTATTGCTATGGCTATTCCAGTTCATAAATTCTTGCACACTGACAAACATGGATATTTATTTTCTAAATTGAACTTACCATAAAGCTGAATTAGAATTTCCTAAACAGCTATTTTCTTTCTTTTCCCACATATTGCTACCTTTTTTCTGTCTTTAGGCAGGAGAGTTATCAGCATTCTTAAGCAGAAAAAGAGCTTAGATACTCCTACATGGGATTGTATCATGCAGTTTACTCATAGGTTAAGGTTTCCCTATCCAGTCGTGTCCGACTCTAGGGTGTGGTGACCATCTCTGTTTCTTAGCTGAAGGAGCCAGTGTTGTCTGAGGATACTTCCGTGGTTATGTGGTCAGCATGACTATATGCCAAGGCACATGGAACACTGTTACTTTCCCACCAAAGTGGTACCTATTTATCTACTTGCATTTTCATACTTTCTAACTGCTAGGTGGGCAGGGGGCAAATAATGGGAGTTCAACTATTGCATAGCACCCGGGTCAGCTTTTAGCTGACAAGCTCAGCATCTTAACCACTGAGCCATCACGTCCCCATTGTTTACAAACATGCAGTCAAAGTAATCGGGAATCTTGGAACCTAAATAAGTGATGGGTTTCCATGCACTAGATATGTTCAACTAGAGCAGTGGTGGTGAACCTTTTAGAGACTGAGTGCCCAAACTGCAACCCAAAACCCACTTATGTATTGTTGGGTGCTGGGTGGGCGTGGCCCATTGGGTGGGCATGGCCAAGAGTGAGTGTGGCCCATTGGGCAGGCGTGGCCCATTGGGTGGGCGTGGCTGCGGTGGTAATTGCAGACTGGGTGGGACTAAAAAGTTCAATCAATCAATTCCAACTTTGCGAGATCTTTTTTTTCCCCAGGAGAAGTTGAAATTGATTGATTGATTGAACCTTTTTTTTTTTGCACACAGTGGCGGAGGCTTAAAGCGGAAAGGTTTTATAAAATCCAGCTGAAGGCCTAGGACTGGGGCGATGGCGCGCGTGCCCACAGAGAGGACTCTGCATGCCACCTGTGGCACGCGCGCCATAGGTTCGCCACCACAGAACTAGAGGCTGGTAGTCATTTATTAGGGGAAGTTTTAATCTAGATTTCTGCACTGAGCAACTAATTAGATTTGCTAGTCTAAATGAGGCCTTCCAATTTTGTAACTTTGTTTCTAAAATAACAAATATTTGGGATGTTTTTGTATGATATTGCCAAATCTTTACTTTCACAAAAGGAAACCATTTACTATTAAAATTTCATTTGGAAGTTTTGGAATTTTTAAATCCAACCATTAGTAACCAGTGATTCTCAGGTTTTTATAAGATGTTAATAATAGTTGATTGTCTCTCCATTAATTTTGCCCTATGGCAATTATGGTATTGCCCATTTATGGTATTGAGAATCTTTATGACTGTTACTCTTTTTAACAAAATACTTTCTATATTGAGGAATAAATAAAGGGCAAGAGTATCCATGCTATCAAGAAAAGAATAATATCTGCTATTCTAACTTTAGGTAGAAGCAGAATACCTTGGTTTATCTTTTTAGGAGATGTCTGTCTGTCTGTCTGTCTGTCTGTCTGTCTGTCTGTCTGTCTGTCTGTCTGTCTATCTATCTATCTATCTATCTATCTATCATCGCCATGAATAATGGTACTTTTTGCTTATCCTTCCTGGATAATATAGAAAGGCTCCTTCTAAGATTTAATTGCAGAAATGTTTTCAGTTAAAACTCTAGTCTATTTGCATGTGTATCTGTGTGTATATCAACAAATCTCAACATTAAAAGCACACATCTAGATTATCTCAAGTAATATAGATCTAAAGTCCTTTAAGAAATATATGCAGTTTTCACGTTTGGCTTCGTACTGTAATTTTGTCAGTTCTTCTGGTCCTGAGAATTATAACCATTTCAATTGCATTTCTTCTGCTATCTGATTTCTGAGCAACAGGACAAAAATAGCAATGGCAAATTAGAATTTGCAATTAAAATTGGTTAACTTTCAATTGACAGTGCAAATAAAATGACTATAGAAACTGATTGCCTAAATTTTGCAATTCAACTATAGCCCTCTGCCCACTCTGTTTACTTTATACAAATTGATAGTTATCCAATAATTACTCTACATTTATTATTCAATACTGCAGTAGAAGTACACCCATATTTTTTTCTCCTTCCAAGTCCCTTTTGGAATGACAGCAGGGGCTTTCCAGAGCTAAACTATGGACCTCCGATACGAACGAAGAAGTATAGACCAACCCAACCGTACTTTTACGGTTAATAACGAACCTCGTCGTCAGTTTCCGTACAATGACCAAATACAGTCTAACAAAGAGTAAGTAAGATCCGTTCATTTCCCGTTATTCACACCTTTTATGTTTAACACTTGACACTTACAATGGATAAGTTTACTCTTTCTGTTATAGGCTTGCATAGCAACAGCTTGTTTCACCATGATAGTAAGAAAAAGATAAAGCATTTTGATCAGGCTTTCAAAACCGTAGAGATGTCTATTGTCATACATGTATAGCTTTCCTAGTCTAACAGTTACCATGTTCCAATCAACATCTATTTGGCCTCTAAATGGTAAACACGTTGTATTTTATTTCTTTGTTCAGTTTGGTTTTTAATAATATAGTATTTATTCTTTCTTTTTATTGAGCCTGCCCTACCTGCAGTGACTTCTTAAGCCTGGTACAAGGAATTATGGATTTACAAGAGCTTCTGGCTAAAATGACAGCAAAAGTAGGTACCTGGCTATTACTCACAATTTTTAATCCAAGTTGCTATTTCCTCCGTCTCTTAAAGCCACTATGTCTGTATTTTCCCCCCATTTTTTGTCAATGGGTTTATATCAACTTAATCCATACTATAAGAACCTGTTAAATCATGGATGGGAAACCTGAGAATTGATAAAGGAGAAAAAATTGTAGCTCAGGATTGAAACGAGGGCTTCTTGATGCTCTTTGCGTTTGGTTGTTTTCTTGCAGATGTTTCATTACCCAGACTAGGTAACATCACTAGTGCTCAAAGTACTGATGATGTCATCTAGTAATGAAACATCTGCAGGATCTGACAATGTCATAAAACTATCTGCAAACAAGTATTTCAATACTCTGGCAAGTATGTTCTGTCCATATCCTTACTGTTGTATAAGAGGAGGGGAAAGAAGATGGAAGCAAAGAGAAAGAGTATGCCATCAGTTGTTCTGTATACTCTATGTGCATTTCATAATGCTTTGAATAGACTGTGGGTCTAGAGAGAACAAGGAATTTGTTTTTTTATTGCAATGAAAAATTGTGTGGAATTGTGCTATATTGCAGACAAACTTATGTCTCATTTTAGACCAGGATTGGTAGGATGAGTCTATCAGAATTGTCAACATTTATGTATGGTAAAGCAGAGAAATGATTGCTACGGTTATAAAAAATTGTTACAAATCCTGCTGATTTCAGTAAAAAAGTCTATTAACTGAGACTAACCCATTGAACACACACATAGAGTATTTCTGAATAAACATGTGCAGACTTGTAGTGTTGTTTCCAACTGAAAACAGTGGAATTAAAAATTTAAAGTTCTTGGCCTTTTTGTTTTAAATAAAAGCTTTGAATGAAAAATATACCAGGCTGCAAATTCTGCATGAATTCACTGACATATATCTTGTTTTAGTGTTCATTTTTTTCCTTTAGGCTGTTTATTGATGCTCCGTCTTCATTTAAGCATGCCCTATTTTTACAGCATGCTTTGAACAGGTTTGTTTGGAAAAAGAAAAATATTAGATTTCACCTCATGTAACTGAAAGAAATAAGACAATTCAGAAGCATTCTAGTGGATTTAATATATGCTGAGTCAGTCCTAATTGAGTGGCTTGTCATTTGTTGCAATTAAAGAGCCATGGTGGCACATGGTTAGAATGCAGTATTGCAGGCTACTTCTGCTGCCTGAGGCTGCCTGCAGTTTGTCGGTTCAATTCTCAAGGTTGACTCAGCTTTCCATCCTTCTGAGGTCGGTAAAATGAGGACACAGATTGTTGGGGGCTGACTCTGTAAACTGCTTAGAGAGGGCTCTAAAGCACTGTGAAGTGGTATTTAAGTCTAAGTGCTAAGTGCTATTTATTGGTTTTAAGATTAGTGAATACTTTATTACCATTCTGAAGTTTACTTGTATCCATACAAACAGAGTATTCTTTTAAGTCCGTGTTCCTTGTTTTCCTTAATGCTTCTTCTGACATTTGCAATACACATATATCTTTTAATTTTAATCAATAATTTTAATTTAGCAAATGGCACATTTGTCTCTATTTTTATTAATGAATACACAATTCATGGTTTACTTTTGTTTCAGCAGTCCCTGTGGAACTTGTCAAAGTCAGCAACATGAAAGACAGAGAATCACAATGGAAGTCCTGTCTATTTTGTGCATGTTTCAAAGGGGCAAGGATTCCATTGGATGTTCTACCTTATTGCTGATGTTGATGCTTCCCTGCCCACACTATTAGCTAGTGGCTGTGAGTCGTGCTTTGTGTTTTCCCACCCATATTAATTCTGAATAGGGTGGTGCACTAAGAACAGAGAAGAAAAATGTGTGTGTGTGTGTGTGTGTTGTGCTGTATATATTCAGTGGTGGGATTCAAATATGTGAACAACCACTTCTTTGTGTGGATGCTGCTTCCGGAAGTCCATTCTGGGCCTGGGCAACAAAAAATTAGCTACCGGTTCTGCCAAAGTGGTGTGAACCAGCTGAATCCCACCACTGTATATATTCTTTAATACTCTTTTCATAACCTTTAAATAGAAATGAGATTTAAAAGACATATTTGTTCTTCCTTTCCAAAAGAAAGAACAATTGCTTCTCTCATCATAAATTTGGTCTTTAACATCACAGTATAGAATCTAATATTCCATCAAAGGCACAATGCATTCTGGAAGGATAGCCAGATGGCCTTGCTAAACTTTTAGAACCTATTTAGAGTGCCTAATAATAATTAACAATGCATTATATTTTAAATTAGTCCATATTTTAAAGTAAACATTCTGAAGCAACATTGCTTAAATTATGAATATATAGAATATTTTAATAAATATAAATGCAGAAATGTTTGATAGTAATTGCTGAAAAAGTTAGATGTTATTGGTTTATCAAAGAACAATTACTTTTAAAGCATAAAATAATTTTTGGAACTCAAGGGATATTTAAAAAGTGGCAGATACCCATTCTAATGATGAACTCGAATCACTTATGGGTTTAGAAAAATCATATCAGATTGTTTTTGTTTTTTTTTAAAAACTGAACAACAAAACTAAAAACATCCCATCATTTAATAAACACATATTGATTCTAACTTCCTGAATCTGGAAATATTTGTGCTGATTTTATGGGTCTGTGTTTTAAAAAGATGTGCCTAAATAGAGGGCGTCCCAGGTTGACTATATCTGTGCTCAGAAGATAAACAGCTCTGGACCTGGTGAATGAATTCCAGGTTATGGGAAGCTGGACTGAAAAAGGTGAAAAAACTCCTGGAAGAAGATAATAGACCACACTCTTATACATTTCACACACTTACGCTATTTCATAAAAATATATCCACTAATCTTTTTGTGAGAGCTGCAGAGAAATGTAAAATTCAAGAAAGTAGCACTTCAGTAAAGGATTGCACTTTTCACATCACTTGATAAGTATTGCAAATCACGATTGTAAATGATGCATTTTCCTCCATAAATTGTATATGATTTGTGTTTGCATTAGGTTTGATTCAGAATAGAAGCTGCCCAACTACAAATAAGGCTCTACAATTGAAATAAGAAAACTATAATCAGAATATTATTTTCTGATTTTTCTGTTCTTTTGTGCTTTATGTAATCTAGATTTGAAACATATACAAAAGCTTTAGAAGATAATTTTATAAATCTTGTACAATTGAATGAAAATAGGACATATTACCATAGCATGGCCTAAAATAGAAAAATATGTGGGTATATACAAAGTGCAATATACACCCTTAATGGATCTTTCTCCTGCAGTTTCAATAAATAATTCTGTTGCCTATTTGAGAATTACATCTGATATATAATTAATATCAAAATATTAAATGTATAATCAATATAGACTTCTAGATTCTTTACACTGCATCTCAGTGATCAAAAGGGTCCTAAGCAGAGAAGATTGCCATACAATGTACAATTTTGTATCAGTTAACAGATTGGGCCAAATTGTTTCTGCCTTTCTTTGAATTTGCAGTGATTTTTTTTTACAGTATTAAAGTGAGATAAAACTGAGCTGTCTAGCTTGGAGCTTATATTGATACCTGGCATTTTTATTAATGCTGGACATTCTTCTTTTATTTATATAAGTATATGTGTGTGTATGTGTGTGTGGATAGGTATGTGCATATATACATACACACACATACATACACATTTACAAATACATATGTATATAATGTTATTTTTAGCTTTTTTTCTTTCTTTTAAAAAAAGTTTAATGTCATCACTAAGTAATTCAACTGTTGGCTAAACTAATAGTAGTACAGGTAATACCTTGAGTGTGGATACTGGTTTTTTGATAATTACAAAGCCTGTTCTAAATGGGTCAGTCTTTACATATATTGATAATGGTAAAACTTGTACATTTGCTTTACATTAATGGCAGTACACACAGCTCTGCAAATCCTTCAAATCCTTTGGAATTAGGAGCACATATGAAGCACATTTTTTTAAAAAAAAATTAAAAAGTCTTTTTCCAGAATTTTGTTGCTGCATTGAATCGGCTCCTAATTCCCAAAGTATTTTCTCCTACTTCACGTTAAAGCTTTTCTTTTAGAGAAAATTTGTGCAGCTTGTCAGTGAAACTGGCTTTCAGCAATTTGTATTAACAAGCAGCAAAGGAAGCAACATTCTCTTCTCTTCAAGGCAGGCAAGAGAAGGAAGAGAAATTAGGAGCAATTGATTTCACTGTGGCCTGCAGTAGCATGTGTTTTTTTGAGAATGCTCAGAATAGAGCTTTGTATGAGCTGATCAGATGGTAGATATAAGTGCCTACTTCCAGACACCTGTATCTTTGTAATTGCAATCCCACTGTTCCTAACTGCACTGATATTTGTTTGTGCAATTCTGAAATGACCAGAAATCATAGTCCCTTGTTTCTCAGCCAAGAATATATTTTGATTATTTGTCAGAAATTTGTCCTCTGGATGTGGCAAACTACTTATGCAGTAGGCTGTGGAGTTATTTGGTATCTAGAATACCAAGAATCCTTGGTATTTTCAATCGAAGGAGCTCAAGAAACAGAAGATCTGGATATAAGACTATTCAGAACAGTCCAGATTAACAGGGATGTTTTAAATTAGGGCTGGGTGGGGAAAGAGACTCAATTTGTTTTCAAGCGTGAGATGCCTTCTTTGAAGAACTATGATTTTGAAAAGGTCTTCTCATATCCATTGGATATCTGGAAGCTCTTGCTTTTTCTGGCTTTTTTATGAATAAACAAGTAACATTTAAATAAATTAATTGAATAATTATGTTTTGTTTGTATTATATAGCGATGACCTCCCTATATGAGACATTTGTAAATATTGTTCTGTTCCACTCTCGATCATAATTAGTGCTTTGTTTGTATTATTTCGATTGTAAATTTACCTCTTAGCCAGTTGCTATTCTCTGCCGCCTTATCGTAGAATTTCTTACTTCAGCGGTTTACATATGTTCCAGAAATTAAATCAAGTAACTTTCTTTTATAGCTAAATTATGCAGAAATGAGACTTAGTCAGTTGGAAAACTGTCACTGTGAGAAGACTTGCCAAGTAAATGGAGTCATCTACCGAGACAAAGATTCATGGGTAGAAGATGATCACTGCAGAAATTGCACATGTAAAGTAAGACACTTCTAACTTATATATGAGGATAAAGCAACTTATTGCAATTTGATATTGGTTCTTGGATAGATCATACAAATTTTTGTAGTAACCTTCACAAACAGTAATATGTATACTGTAGGTCTTAATTAGCATGTTTAATGAATCTTACAAAATGATTGCATTATTTGAATTCATATTATTCAAAGTTATATTGGATGATCAGTTCCACCCGATGGAAGTAAGCAATGAAAAATTTTAAACATAAATTTCTATCTGCATAGCAATGAAAGATTACAGTAAAGGATAAAAATTACATATAATTTAAACTTAAAGCAAAATAAAAATAAAAAATATGCTGTAGATCCACACATTCCAACATCTCATCCTATTTTGGTGTTGCTAAAATCACGTTCATGTCATTCAATGACATCAGATTTTTGCTCTAATGTATTAAAGAGCCTCTTCTTATTAAAACTTTTGCTAGCTTCACGACAACAGAATTTTTGGGTTGCATTAAATGCAACCTGGTACCAATTTACAATTTGTATTACATGGAATATAATATCACATTACAGGTAGACCTTAACTTATGATGCTTAAAAACCATCCAAAGTTACAACAGCTCCCACCGCCCCAAGATACATAGTCAAGTGATCACATTTTGGGCACTTGGCAACCAACTCACCTTTATGGCCATTTGCAGTTTCTCATAATCATAAGGCAGTGGTTTGCAATATTTTTTTTGCCAGTTTTTACTATTTACTTCCAGGTTCCAGCTATTGAGGAACATGGATTCATTTAACAATAGTTGAGTGTGCTTAATGACTGTGGCATTCACTTAATGACTGCAGTGTTTACACTGCAAAAAATTGAGTCTGGTCATGTATGTATGATGCCTTGATTTACAAATGAAACAATTTATTATTGTAATTCTGGGGTCAATTATGGTCATAAGTTAAGAACTACTTATATTAAACTCAAATTAATTGTGACCTACCTGCATAACATAAAGAAAAAAACAAAAAGTTTACCACTTAATTATTTTAGAATGTTTTACACATTTCAGAGCTTTCAGTGCACAGTTAAATGGCATCTTTGTGATAACAGGAAAAAGAAACATTAATATTATGCTTAAGTTGCAACGGAGATGGCAGCAATATGTATATTATGTTTCTAGTATTTATCATTTTGAATAGCAGAGGAACTGAATTAGTATGAAAACCTTTCCTGGTTGAAATTATTTGATAAGTATCGTAAAAAAGGTCTTGCTTGCTCAAGAAAATAGAAAAGTTTTCATTAAAATGTTGAAGATGATTGACAGAATGTGAAAGGTGTTATTTATGTGTTTGAGAAGATCAGATTCTTTTTTCTTGGTTGTCATTCTTAGGCAATTGCTGGGATTGGGGGAGTGGGATAAAAGAATTTTTTTTCCCCAGAAATCTAGTAGTGGTTCATATTGGTAGGGGTTAGATAAGATTCTGCGCACTGAAGAATGACATCTAATGCTACTGAGATTCTGCTAATTATAACATTTCATACATTCACTATTGCATTTATCTGCTCTTGGTTTAGAATGGAGTGGTGGAATGCCGACGAATGGCCTGCCCGCTATTGAATTGTTCTTCTGATGGCCTTCCAGTCCATATAACTGGCCAATGTTGCAAAGTATGCAAATGTAAGTACAGATCTCTCCTCTTTCTGTTCTAGAATTGTATGCATGCATGTATATGTATATATGTGTATAAATCTCCCTCCCTCCACTCTTATATACAGTTGTATCTTGGTACTCAACTGCTTTGAAACTCATCAAATTTGATACTTGACCCATTCTGACATGAAAACTTTGTTCTGGTACTCATCATTTGTTTGGTAATCAGCACCTGAGCTTGTGACCGCCTACCACACTTGTTGACACCAAACCAGACTTATCGACACCAGCCACACTTGTTGGTGTCAGCTGCCTTGTGACTCATTTACATCATTTCTTCATGGGGAAAAATTGTTTGGTACTCATCATTTTTGTATTCATCATTCCTTCTGAAACCAATGAATGATGAATACCAAGGTACCACTGTATATGGGAAACTAAGATGTGACTAAAACTTACAGTCCTCCCAATTTGTAGCCTGATTAATATAGGCTAGAAATATTAATTAAGGGGTTTTAAGGAAAACTCTTATGATCTGGTAACACCAACCTGAAAGCAACCTGTGTTTTGCTTTTGTAATCATATATTTAAAGTAGGTTCTATACTGACTTGCCAAACAATGGTAAGATGATATGGTATCTTTAAAATGCCATATATTATAGTTAACTGCATAAGAAAGACTATATTACACAAGCTTACATGAAAAAGTATATTTTGGTATGTTTACATAAAAAACAGAATATGCCAGAGAAAGTTTTGTATGTGAGGTGTCCCTGTTTCTTTTCAGAAACTGTAGAAAGTTAGTGACATCAAATTGTAAATGAATACCAGAAATAAATCAAACAGTTGGAGAATAATCTTATACTATATATTTATATAGACATCCCAAGAAGGAGGTAAAGGAGCTTAATCATTCATTTTTCCAAAATCATTATACAAGATAAACAATAATACTTACAGAGAAGCAGAATATACCATTACTCTTTGTACAATTTTAAATTCAATTCCAGATAATTCCAGTTCTGTCATTCTCCTCTGAAAGTTTAGACCAATGGATCTCAATAAGTCTACATATCTCAAGAACTATCTTGAGCAGCTGGTTTTAGGAAATCTCAGGATTTGCTGTAATAGTTTATAATTTATAGAATTTTAAATAGCCTGGTAATTTTTTAAGGTTTCTAAACAATGGTTAAGTGTCTGTATACTGAACTCAGTGTATATTTCCTCTCCTGCAGTGCTCTCCTATTCAACAATAAAATTATTTACTCCTTGAGAGAATCTAATAATAGAAGAGTTTGCAAGACAATTTCTATAATCTCAGCAAGAGACACTAAAGTGCTATCTTCTACATTGATAGATATTATATTTAGATTGTTAATATAGCAGAAAGCATAGAAGGAAAATATGCTTTGTGACTTGTGGTGAAAACTGATAGGAAAATAGAACTCCACTTAATGACTAGTATCACACAACAAACCAAAATCATTGCTTGCTTTAATCGTAGTTTATTGAATGAACCAGAACTGAGTAGGTTTACATAATTGTAATTGGTTCACACAACTCCCTAAATCAAAACCATTTTTTTCCAACACAAATGTTATTTTGTGCACACAGTGCTAGTCATTAACACTATACATTGTGATAGTACTCTATAGATTGATTTCTTTGCAGCACAATCTGACTGTTTACAGTTTTCTGGTTTGTTCTGAACTCAGGAATATAAACTCTCATATTAGAAAATGAACATACTTACCCCTTCTACATACACATCAGATTAACAACCTTGAATCTTATATATTTGGGGATGGAGATTTGTGATACAGCTGCAATAAACGCATTATCTTAACATATAGATATTTATTGCCATCACATTATATATACTTCGATAGAACATCTGCTGCTGGTTCTATATGCGTCCAGGAGCTAGTTGTCCTTCATGGGCACAAGTCAGGCAGATTCCCATTGGCTGTTGTGAGTCCTATTCATTTTGTGTAGCATGGATTTATGTTTCTCATTGTTAAACATCTGGCCCTGTATTTCTTCTAGTTCCTATAATTATATAGACCAGTTGAGTAATTATCAGTTGTATTTCCAAATAGAATGGAAAAACAAAACAACATTTTGGGTAGCATATTGTGCTCAGATAGTACACAGGACGGTAGTATATATTTTATAATGCAGTTTTAAAAGATCCAATCATATGAGATAAACTGAAGTTGTAAAGCAGGTGATGATAAAAATTGAGATCTTACAGAATATTGCTTTTTGTTGCAAGCATGCTGTGATATAAACCTTAGCAATTGTAGAGAGTATATGGGGAGCCTTTAAGAATCTAACAGAGGTAATTATGGAGAAGATGAACATTTCCTATAAAATCTGTAGTTCTCTTTTCTTCTTGTTTCTCCCTTCCCCCTCTATCTTTTTCTTCTTGTGTACAACATTGGAATTTACTCAGTGGTGGGATTCAGCCAATTCACACCACTTCGGCAGAACTGGTAGCCAGAATGGACGTCTGGAAGCGGCATCCACACAGAGAACCGGTTGTTCACATATTTGAATCCCACCACTGAATTTACTCCTATCTTGGAAGATATTTGATAAATTGTGAAGGGCAATCTTTATACTTCTTCCCTATTGATTGCTTCTACTCTTTTCTTTATTATTTTTGACCCCTTTTGCTGCCCTGTATTACCAATTTGTGAAACAAATACCTGGGAAGATTCTGGAAAAGATAATCTAACAACGAATCAACGAACACCTACAGGCAAACAAAGTCATTACTAAAAGCCAACACGGGTTTGTCAAATGCCAGACAAATCTTATTGCATTCTTTGACCAGGTGACAAAATTAGTGGACCAGAGGAATGCTGTGGATATAATTTACTTGGACTTTAGTAAGGCATTTGACAAAGTAGATCACAACCTACTACTTGATAAGATAGAAAAATGCGGGTTAGACAGCATCACCACCAGATGGATCCGTAGCTGGCTGACCGGCTGTACTCAGCATGTAGTCCTCAATGGAACTGCATCTACATGGAGGGAAGTGTGTAGTGGGGTGCCCCAGAGCTCTGTTCTGGGCCCAGTGCTCTTCAACATCTTCATCAACAATCTGGACGAGGGGATAGATGGGGAACTAATCAAATTTGCAGACGACACCAAGCTGGCAGGAATAGCCAACACTCCAGAAGACAGGCTTAGGATACAGGAGGACCTGGACAGACTTGAACACTGGGCGCTATCTAACAAAATGAAATTCAATGGTGAAAAAAGTAAGATTCTACATTTAGGCAAGAAAAACCAAATGTACAGGTATAGTATAGGGGGTACCTTGTTCAATAGTAGTAACTGCGAGAGGGATCTCGGAGTCCTAGTGGACAATCATTTAAATATGAGCCAGCAGTGTGCTGCAGCTGCCAAAAAAGCCAACACAGTGCTAGGCTGCATTAACAGAGGGATAGAATCAAGATCATGTGAAGTATTAATACCACTTTACAATGCCTTGGTAAGACCACACTTGGAATACTGCATCCAGTTTTGGTCACCTCGATGTAAAAAAGATGTTGAGACTCTAGAAAGAGTACAGAGAAGAGCAACAAAGATGATTAGGGGACTGGAGGCTAAAACATATAAGGAACAGTTGCTGGAATTGGGTATGTCTAGTTTAACGAAGAGAAGGACGAGGGGGGACATGATAGCAGTGTTCCAATATCTCAGGGGCTGCCACAAAGAAGAGGGAGTCAAGC